GAATAAAGCTCAGTGTCTTTTTAGGAAGAGCAATGGGCATACGAGGCCCTCGCTCATATGTRTACTTTGTCCATCCACACTCAACAAACCACACCAAAACACTAAAAGAAAGAATATTTGTATGCCCGAGATTAAAGCAAAGATGTGTCTTTGTTCCATTTTTTGAATTTTCAACAAACTCAGGAAATCATCTCTGTGACTGAATCACGTTTTAGCTGCAAAGAATGCTAGTAAAGTTTCAAAAATTACATTTTCTGACATTTGCAATAGTTTTAAGTATGAACTTTAGTTTTTTTTTGACAAATCTTTGCTCATTTTTTTGTTTAAAATGTATATTAAAGTCTGTTTTTGCCTGTAAACTGTGAATCAGATATTCTGGACTGCATATGACTGAACGTGAACGTAACTATCCCAGACTCAGAGATGGTGTCACACCAAGCAGACTGCTTGATATGGATATGTTTATAGCCCTGCTGTATTGAGAGTGTCACTGCTTCATGTAAAAGTCAATATTATTAAATACATTAGGAATATGTTGATGATATTATTTTAGTGGATGAGCAGAACTGTGCCCACCACTGAAGTATTCACCAAATTGTATTTCTTTTTTTATAGCTCTGACAACTTTTTCTCTTACTGCCCTTACTTTGTAAGAAGCTCCTGGAGGTGGTGGTGTCCTCGTGATGCCGCGACAGCAGATGGGGTCTCGCCCTCTTTGTTGACCAACTGAAGGACCTCTCTGGCTCCAGGTTGTCGCAGCAAAAAGCGCGTAACCCGAGAGAGGCCTCGACGGGCCGAGAAATGCAGCAGAGTCTCCTGAGGACTCAACTCTGTGGAGGAGACAGAAGATGACAAATGCACAATTAAGTACAGATCCAACAAAACACAACAACGAAGCAGAGGGAAGGATGCTTGCAGCTAGTCCAGGGAACCGATATGCAGTGCGGCTGCCAAACATGCCATCACCTGCAGCAGCTCGGCAACAAGACAGCGCTGCCAACCAGCAAAACATCCACAGTCACATTCAGTCAAACAACTGACATTTTCACATTTACAAAGTGATAAAACCACTTATTTGTCTGCAATTTTCTTTAAAAACAAACCACGTGGGTATTTCTCCGTTTAGTACAAAAAATTAGATAAAATGCCCAATATTAAAACCTAGCTTGAGTGTGGAAACACTTTTAAAACAATATTTCGTTTTAGAAACTAAAGCAAATCAAGGCAACTAAAAGAATTATGCTGCCATCAAATATACTGTAACTATACTGTCAGGTGAACAACAAATGTGCTCTTAATTTTCTATTTCAATTCAGTTCATTATTGGCCCACTATATCAGTAAACATCCTAATAACACCATAAAACACTGAAACTGATCCCCTTTAAGCACCCTTCAAGACAATAACAGAGATTCATGAGCACACACACACACACACACACACACACACACACACA